AGCGGTTTTGTGCGATGCGCAAAACGAGCAATCAGAATCAGCGGCCTTCGAACGCAACCGCGGTCTTTCGCATCCTCTCCCGAGCTACCGTGAGAACTGCAAGACTCCGCATTGCTCGTCGTTCCCAATGCGACTTGAACGGTCGATTGCATACATGGATTCACCGTAGCGCATGGATCTCTTTGTACGATCGATAGGATTCGGAATTCGGTGTCGCGAGATCTCGTAAAGGAAAGAGAGGCAGGTTTCTAGGAAGGCGATCGTGTCGGGTGAGAATCTTCGCCTCTACTTTGTACATACAGGGAATTCGTGGTGTCGGACTCGAAGGAGATCAATGGTCGGAGGAAGCGAGAGAGGAAAACGAAAAACGGCGGGAGGTATTAAAGAGCTTCGAGCTTCTATGATGTCGCGCGATGCACACGTTTCTCATGGAAGTTCGAAAACCCGGACGGTGTTACTCGAGGCGCGGCAAAGGAATTCCTCTAGCTGTCGAGTCTTTCCATCGTCTTTGACGAGATGCAAGAGCAGTCTCGTAGATCGCGTTCTATGGCCGTTTCGTCCGAGACTCGGGTATAACGGAAGAATTCAAACGGGAAGCGGTTATGGAGATATTGTGGATTCGCTGGTCGGAACTGGTCGGTCGCCACCTCGGTGCGGTTTAAAATCGATCGCCCATGATACATGGACGTGGTGATCCTTCGTTCTCTTTAAACCGAACGATCACCTTCTCGTTTCGGTTTCTTCTATCCCTGATAAAACTGCCATTTGCCCGATCAATCGCTGTCTCGAAGTCCTCGAGCCCTCGCCAATTTGTCGTTGGGTTGGGCAGATCAGGAGGAGACGAAGATCGAAAGTATTGGAACGATCAATGCGTAGGGTACCGAAATGCATATGAACGCACCTATACAGATAGACGGGCCCAAGTAAAACCTGTTAGAAACTCGTTAGAGATACTGGTATCTCGTCGCTGGTCATGATCAAACGGAGAAGACCGCGGAAAAGCTCTGAAAGAATTTCATGGCTGGAACATAGATCTCCTCGGTGGTCTCGCAGAATTCGCGCGGCCCTGAAGAGTTCGTTCCATCGCGTCGCTTTCTGTTTACAAACAAGGATGTGTTCCTCCACTCCCCCAACGGTCATCTTCCCGCGCTCGCTCTTTCGTCGTCCACACCTCTTTTTACTCGATCCTCTCTCGCTCGTCCTTCCACCGAGGACTACCCGTCTTCATCTCTTTCAGGCGACCTTGGGCTCGTCGCTGTCTTCCTACATGGCCCATTCGTATGTGTACCTAACGTGTACCCGCGTTCCGTTCCGTCAGTCAGTTGAATCGAATCGGAACGTCGACGGACGTCTTTCTTTTGCACAGGGAGTCCGCGACGACGGGGCGTCGGGGTCGTCGTAACCGAGGAACGAGACCGGGGCCCCGGGATCGAGACTCGAGACGCGGCAAAACGATGCGTTCCATCTTCCATCGCCGTCGTTCTCTCTTTTTTTCTCTCCTTCCGTGCCCCCACCTACCATATATCCCAGGGCTTCTCTCCTCTTTCTCTCTCTCTCTCTCTCTCTCTCTCTTTCTCTCTGTGCTCGTTCCCGCGCACCGTCGCGAACCTCGGCGGTGTCGCCTCTCCCCACTATGAAAGACCACGACCGACCGTTGAGATTTAAATTCCTCTCTGGGTGGACGGAGAAGAGGAGTCCCCGGCCTGGGAACGCCGGGAACGGGCAACCTTTTCGCGCGGGACGAGGAGGAAATCGTCGTCTCACTGCCCTGAAACTCCGTCCTCGAGACGTGGCAACTGTTTACGGTCTAATGCTTTTTAAACTCCGATCGATGACAATGCGATAACGAACGGGCCCGGGGTTCGCGAAGAAAGTGGATCGATTTGGTACCGATCGTTGAGAGAGAGTCCTTTTTTGTCGCACTTGGAATTTCGAATGCGTCGTACAAAGTACCGACACCCTGTTTACCAGAGATATACATATATGGTCGGTGAGAAAGTTTGCTACGAAAGTCCGAATCGATAAGGTGCATCGGTATCTTAGTTATTTACGAAAGTCAATTGAAAAGTCAACTGCTTTGAAAAAAAAACAGAGCTCGCGCGTGAGAGTTACAGAAACAAGGTAGAAAGCATCCGTTTGGTCTCTTGAGAGTTCGATACGCGAGGAAGAGGTGTACCTATGACGACGGTACGCGCGGTAAAGAATGACCGTTTGGTTCTGGTTGCGAGCATACGGGATCGACTTCGGCTAGCGTAGGAAGCGTTACACGCCCTCGTATATAACACTTTCGGGCCTGGGCCTCCCCCATGTGGGCACCCCGTGTATCGTATTGTCTAACGCTCGTTTCTGCGATACGATATGCTATACGCCGGTGCCTATACGGGCGCAGCTGTTATACGAGGCTTATTCGTACGTGAATAATCGATGAACGCGAAACGACTTTTGGTCACCGAGTTCAGAGTACACGAATCGCCATCGACGTCGACCTGATCCCATTATCGAATTTCGTACAATGACCGTTCCGATCGATTCGTAGACGATTCACGATCATTTCCCGCTTCTCTGAGTTCTCACTGTCCGTGGTCGGCATTGGTGAGACGCTGGATAACGCGAAAATGGATGAGTTGAAGGACAAGAAAGATGCGACTGAAAAGCGCGCACCGCAGTAGCGGGAGGGAATGGACGACCGCACGAGCGAAGGAGAGGAACGAGGAAGGAAGATATCGTCGCGATATGTATTTCGGTTGGACGTCGATAAGAGTTGGTGGCGTCTCAAGGCCCGAGTTTACGGTTACCTCGGCACCGTTGTTGAATGCGTTCGCAGTTCTCGTTCTCACACTCGGAAACGTAAGCTCGAATTACATGGTAGACGTTATCAGAACCTTGTGTCACACTCCGATTTTACGCGACGAGCATCGGTCGTCGTAGAAAATTCGTTTGCGGAAAATAAAAAGCTTTTACTCTGCTGAGTCGGCAGTTTAGAATACCGGGAGGCCCACCCGTGGGTTTTCTCACTTTAGCGAATTCGCACGAGAATCTTCTACCTTTTCCTATTGTATAAACTAGAAACTGAACCGCCCGTAGAAGGAATGCGAGGTGGGCTCGAGATTCGAGGTAGGCGGTAAGAAGGTCTCGAGTTTTCCCACTCGCTCGAAGAACGATCGTGTTTTCATACGTTTCCGACGAAGCGAGAACCTGTCGAAGCTTGCTGCCGAGAGGGTCTAGAGACAATGTACGTTTTTACCTTTGATCGACCGCTCGTTTTTCACATAATTCCTTGGTCGTAAAAGTCGTCTCCTCCCGTCGTAGACGTCGTGGACACGCGAAGTCATTTGGCTTTCCAAATTTCGTAATCCTGCCGATCGCGGGGCAATTCTCACCTTTCGTTCCTATTTCCGTTCATCGCCCACTCGTGCCCTGCGATATCTTTTCCGTTAACATGTGTGAGCCCGAACGGCAAATCTAAATTCACCGCCTTTTCCGTCTGTCCGTCATTCTCCCCGTCGTCGCTTCTTCTTTTCTCAGGATGATTATTTTCTCCGACTTCCCTTCGTTTCCGTCGAAAGAGGGGACTCTCGATGGTTGTCAGCGAGGGGTTCCACCAATTTCTGATACTCCCCCTCTCCTCGGTACACGTACCTAGCCTCCCCTTTTCTTTTTCCTCCCTTCTTCGTATTGCGAATTTCGATCTCCCGTATGGTGCATCTGCGACGGCTGCCTGTATCGAAAGAATAGCAAGAACGAGCAGACTGTCTTCCACGCACCCTTCGGGACCCCGGGAAGCAAGGAACAGATGATGATCCCGTTTAGGAAGCTGCAAAGCCGTCTTGCTCGCAACCAGACTTTACGGTTACGAGGTCATTATCGCCAGTGATTCTTTTGCTTCGACTTTTACTTTTATCGTCTCGCTGATTCGAGTCCCTACCATCTCTCGTTCTGCCTCATCTGTCTGTATCTATTCCCGACGTATTCGGACGACACGGATTCCCCGATCTCTCAACGTCTCCGTGAGCGATCGTAAAAATCTCACTCATCACTGGAGATCGGGAGACACTTTCGACCCGTGGAAACTCGCGGCTTTCCCGCGTCGTCTCGTCGCTAAGTTTGAGAACCTCCTGCCGAGCACCGCGTAAATGTTAATGCCTCCGCGTTTCCCCGTCGCTCTCGTCGTCAATGGAAAACACCGTACGCGTCGCGACGCCTGTACGCCTGTGCAGGTATACGATACCCGGTACACGACGTGACACGTACACGCGCGCGTTATTAAGATTCCATGTACGCGCACATACATACATGCGGATCATGCGGTGGCTGGGGCCGGGACTCGTACGCTCACACGCCCGTGCGAAAAGTGTCTAGTGTCTGTTACGCTCATACGCGCGTGCACGCATGTGTGCGTCGTACCTATATGCACTTAGCGGTGCACCATCGGGGTGCCCACGGTTGGCACGTGCCAACCACCACAATGGATACGACCATCTGCACTCGTTCTTATAGAAAAATCAAAGTTGTAGGGAGCCGGGCGTTTACCCGATTCCGAGTTCCCAGTTCCCTTCCAGTCCGTTAGAAGTTCGAACCGTTCCCCGTGGAAGACGGTCCCCGGAGTCCCTACCGTCCCCAGACTCCAGACGATCTTGCGTCGACAGTCTGTCTGAATATCAAGTACTCATTATCGTCCGCAGGACGTCTGCAAACTCGATCTCCCGAGTATTTAAAAAAGTTCCATTCCGGTAGTTTCTTTCCAAAGATCCTCGGTCGTCCTTGACGTTTCTTTACTGCTCATAAGATCCTTCATTTTTAAGATTGATCGATCCGTTGCATCGTCAGACGCAGCAACGAGAGGCTGTACGGTGTCCCGCGATTCGCTCATTCGTCGCGAGATCGAACGACCCGTTCGAACGATGCGACGACTCGACCGAATCGACGATGATCGTGTCGTCTAGACGGGTCGCGATATAATCGTTTCGCGAATATCCCGGATTCTGGACCGGGTTAGAAATATGGGTTGGGAGGGTCGGGTGACGTGTCCACGGGAACGGAGAAGGTGCGCGATCCAGCAGCTGCGTATGGGTACGGGGGGCACCCCTGTTACCCTCGATACGCACGGCAAAGTAAGCAGCTGAGTTACCCCCATGGTAGCACCATGCGTTACGCGTACGTTCGATGCCCTGCCCTATGGCGAATAATCTTCGCAGTCACTACCACCGGATCTACTGGCTCCGGGACTGGGAACGAATTCATCGACGGCCGATGGATCGGTCGTTAGGCTTCTTCGTTCCCTCCGCACGCGTTCACATTCGCCCCCTTTCAGACGTGTCTCCCCCGCGTTCGCACCCCTCGCTCCTCCGCGACGTCCGTTGCTTTTTCGAATCGAGCCGGGACGTCTGGCTAGATACGTTCGATTTCGTCCCGTCGTTGTCACGTCGATCAAGGGAGTCGTAGAGACGAACTATTGGATCGGTGCAGAAGTTCGTACCGGATTTTTAGAATCGATCAAATCTGACTTTGATACTTCATAAATACATGGACGTTTGTTACGAACTTATCGAGAGATCCTCATGTGTACGTATTCGCGCGAAACACGAGATCGAAAAATCTCGTTCGTGGAGAATATGTTTTGATAAAGTCATCGAACGAGTCATACGATACTTCTTACTGATGGTACGTACACTGCGGGGGCACGGGTCGCGATCTACGAGTCTTTGAGTCGCGATCCAAGGTCTATTAGGAATTGAGGTGCAGGGATACCTGCCGTGTGAAAATCCTTGAAGAATGCGAGGGTGGTATCGTAGATCAGGTGAAGTATTGTGATCGGTAGAATGAAAAAACGGTCAGAGTCGTACCTGCCGAGAGCTGCATCCTTCGGAATAGTCGGTGCATCGGGAGAGGGAAAGAGAGAGGGAGACAGAGAGACGAGGGCAGGCCCTTTGAGCGCGAGCAACAACTCCTACGGTCGGCAACCTTTTCCGGCCTGCTATCGGAGGCGAAGCGTGTAGTAGTCAGTGAATGACCGAGTACACACAAGGCCGCACGCGTGTATGCGTGAGTCCGAAGGAACAAAACAGAGACAGATAGATAGAGGCGGACGGACAGATAGGTAAAAGTAGAAGCAACGTTGAACCGTAGAGATTTAAATGTTTCTCCCCTCCCCCTTAAAAAGAACGTGCATGCTTACAAGTTCATGAGCTGATAGCGGTGTGACGCAAAGAACGAGGGGACAGAGATATCGAACGAAGTCTTCGGTATGCGAAATATCGTCGCGTATCAGAATTGATCGGTAAATTAAACGTTATTAGCTCTACCGTTTTTGGAACATTCATCGGATATACGAACCTTCGGTTTGCCGAAGCATTGCTAGAATACAGAATACATTGTCATCGCGGGAAAGGGGTATTATAGTCAATTTAGCTGGCGAATCGTAGGCAAAAACCGTAAAAACCGGCGGTGGCGAACAATCTGACAAACGGACGGAAACGAACGCAGACGAACGAGTACCGAAACGTGCCGGCAAAGAGGCAGAAAAGGGCCCCCCATAGCGGTTGCCCTCTGCTCTAACGAGAGGATTCCGCGTTCCGTTCTCCCTGTATGCCCTGGAGAAGGTTTCGGCGGGCCCTTGCCTGTTTTCCTATTGGCCGATCCCTTCCCTTCCCACAGGGGCGCGCCATGTATATAGAGAGGTCCTTCCCGCCAGAACGGCCAGTTGATATGCGACTTTCGTGAGCTTACGGTGCGCGTCGATCTCTGTGCCGGTGCTCGCTGTAACGTGGCGAGCCATCGCTCGACTGCTCATCGCTCGACTGCTCATCGCTCGTTTCTTATAATTTACTTATCCATTCGTTTACCATCTTCACACCGTGCGGGAAATCGTTGTCCGTGATCGTGTCTCTTTTCGTTCATCGATTCGTTCTTGTAGTCAACGTCTTCGGTATCGATCGTCATGTTCTGGGAAAATGTTACGGATTCGTGCGATGTGTACCAGTGTGCTAGGTACGTATTTCTAGTTAACGTATTTACGGTCTTCCTTCGAAACATATTTCCCAAGTACTGATCGCATGAACGTGCACGTTCTCAGAGAACGGGGAGCTCACACGCGTGAATATCGTTCACCTATTCGTCAATTCGTTTTACGTGCAAGGAATAACTATCGACACTTCATTGAATCTAATTTCTACAAATTAATTCGCGTTACATATTTTAGACGATGGGATTGATTTTATATTAATGACTTTGAATATGTTCTTAATATTTCTCGCGTTCAGGAACGACGTACATGTGCTTCCTTTCCATTCGTGAGGAGCACATGCGGTGCATTCGCATTTCGGAACTTGTGCTTTGACGTCTTGAAAATGATAGATTTTTCTATTTTTCATACGGGTGTATCTCGATGACTGTTTCTCAGAGGATGATGTAGGTCCTATGTAAAAATTAGTTGTACTTTTGATCATCTTCGGAGTTCTGCCTCGTAAATTTACTATTTGTATATGCGTGTATGTGTCGAAGATTTTGGCGGCAAATCGGTGACTGCTGCATCAGCATTGAGCTGAGCACGTTCTCGTTACATGCTACGCGAGATATCAACTATTTTACGATTGTACAAGTGAATATTATTATTTATTTATTTATTTATTTATTTATTTATTTATTTATTTATTTA